TCCCTCAAGCACTCCAGAATTGTGTTCCGGTGCCTTTGGACGGCGTTCGGCTCGATGGCAACTACCTTGATCAAAGTGTTTAGTGCAACATACCGAATGTTGTTGTCCTTGTTGGCCAAAAATTTCCCGAGGATGTTAACACCCAGAACCCTCAGCCCCGAGTCGGCTTCGATGTCCAGGATGGTAAGAACGGCCTCGTATAGTATAGCATTTCCAACATTCTTCGTGGACTCGGTGTTGGTGGCCACTTGCGCGAGAATATCGTTGATCTGCTCGCTGGTGGCAGCATCGCCCCGCCCCAACACTCGGAAAAGCCGCAGGATTTTGACTTGTAAAAATGGGTCAGTGATGCCGGAGACATCATGCTCAGGCGTGTAGCCCGAGCTCGTCAGGCTTTTCAAAGTGCGGACCAAGTGTGGAACAACTGGCCGGAACATTTCAACCACCCCTTCCTCTCCACCTTCTGCCTCATCTGCTTCGCACATGCTCGTTATCAGCGTCAACCCACAGAGGAGGACCCCGTGATTTCTATCTTGCAGCAACACCTTGGCCTTCTCCATGAAATGTTCTTGCAGATCTGGGACTTTTCGGCATATTCGCATGGCGCAGAGCGCAGCCTTTCGACGTATATAGGGGTTTGCGGTGGATATGAGGGTCTCGACTTCGGGGAATAAGTCTCTGGACATTTCAACGGAGGCAATGTTGCCCAAGGTACAGAGTGCTAGGCCCACGACATATTGATTTGAGTGATTGAGATCGCTGTGGATGGTCAGCAAGACGCTTTAACGGGAGTCGAAATGCGTGTGTACTTCTTCAGTGAATTGGTAACCAACGTGAGGACTTCTTGATTCTCGTCCAGCAACAGCATCGTGCCTAGATAGCCCAGGCGCTTGTCTGCGAATCTGGGAGAGGCCAGGAGTTTGAGGCACTCTATCTGGCCGAAATGGGTGCGTTCTCCTAGCGTAAAGAGGTATAACAGCTTTGCGACATTGTTCCTTCTACTTCAGGTCAGATACATCCCTGCCGACATAGCGATTGTAGTGAGCGACCTAATGTTGGAATCTCCGCTCTCTTCCCGAAAACTAGCCCTGATTGCGGCACTCTCCTTTTGAACGACGGCACGCTCGTCTGCGATGGTTTTGGAGGCTCGCACATTGCGGATGAATTGCTTGACTGAACACTGATCAGTATGCCTCGAGCACCGCATGCGGGATACAGGGTGACTGACGGGAGGTCATGTTGGCTCACGCTGACCCAAAGTCGGGGTCGTCCAAGAATGTTCACTCTTTCATGGATCTCGGCACGGCTGTATAATTCTTTGGGCTGGCCCTAGACTTGGCTTGCGGACGAGGATGACGGAGACACTAGGATTCTGGGAGAATTGACAATGCAGAGTTGGGACGTCAGGTCAAGAACCGCCTGAGGCATCTTGTAGAAGTGTCCTTCAATGGCAGCCAATTGATGCCCGTGTCACGCCAAGAGCCGTGGCACTAACGCCATGAGCGACGGTAGACCCAGACACAGGTACTCGGTGCGCACAGAGTGTAAACCATCCACTCTTCATATCGACTCCTCACTGCAGGCACCAAAAGATGTTGTTACAAACCCTCCATCAACATAGCTACACTTCGTCGAAACGCCCATAATGCCCTACGATGTCAAAGTATTCTCACGGTGGATGTGCCACCTGTCGAAAGGCCCATGTCAAATGTGATCAAAAGAACCCTGCTTGCTCCAGATGTATGCTTCAAGCATGGTGAACCTGGACAACAACAATCTGATTGAGCTTCAGGCGCCAACCGAGGCTGGCTCTGCCCTGGCTACCGACGACCTCTCCGATGGTCCCTGAAATACGAGAAAGTTACAAGACCAAGTTCAGCTCCTTCGGGTGCCACAGATCCAAGGTCCAACTTTCTGCCAGAGAATTCTCACCAGCAAGAGATCTCTTCCTCCTTCCTCAGTGGCTCATGGCGTGATACTGGAATTCCACTCTCGAGTGTAGACAGGACCTCAGGGCACAGCGGCGCAAGCGTCAGTTCAGGATCAACACAGGATGCTCTCACGATAGTATTTCCCAAGCCCTTCCTGTCAGATAATCTCGTGAGTGCATCCGCATTCCCACGATCGTCGTCGATTTTCCAGGATTCCGTCTTACTCCTCGACTCCTACTCCGGAGTTCTATCCCGAGTTCTATCCATTTATGATGGCCGCTTCAGCCCGTTTCGTGCTGCGGCCCTTTCGGAGTGGAGGCGCTCGCCTCTCCTCTACTCTGCGTTCAAGTATTTTGTCGGTATCTACCTATCAGGCGGCGATGCTAACTGTCGACACTGTCTGGGTGTGAATGAAGCGCGCCTTGTCGTTCTCGGTGGATTGTCCTCCAGCCTTCTAACCATTAGCAGGTCTATTCCAGTTCGAAAGACAGAAGTCCTTTTCGTTGTGTGCATGTTTGGCCTTAGCAGTAGCTGGTACGATTGGAAGGATCTTGGGTTGGAACACTACTACGGTGCATCTGCACTGCTGTCCGAACTGCTCATAGAGAACCCCAAGATTCCGCCGAAGACTACCCAATTCTTCGCCGAATTCCTGTTGTACTGGTGGATGATGCTATCCTTTGCTTGCGACCCGGAGTTGCGCCAAATTCAAGACCCACCACCAATTCCTCAGCACATGCCAGAACCACGAATGCCTCATCCCTTGACGGGAATCTCTCCAGAATCTCAACTCCTTCTGGGGAAGGTTGGCCGCCTTGTCCTCTCGCAGCGTAGGACCGCCCTTCGACAAGCGATGACTACTGCAGGAGCGCTCAATTACGGACTCGCTGGTATTGAGGAGTCTCGCAACCTTGAACATCAATTGGTCTCTTTGAAAATTCCCACAGCCGACATGATTTTGGATCCGCAAGATCCTCATACTTCTGTCAATGACCTGGTCAACATCGCCCAAGCATATCAACTGTGCGGGCTTTTACTGCTTTATTGTACTTATCCCAACTTGCTAGACCACAAGCTGCCCCCTGAAACTTCGCATGCCGCGAGAACCTGGGTCTCGGAGACCCCGAAATCGATCGCAGAATATCTCATATCATTGGCAATTCATGTCCTCCGGGTGCTGGAGCAGAACTCGAAAAACTCAGGCACTCGGACCATCGAAGCGATATTGCTCATGATTGTGTCCGGCGTGCTTTCGCAGAGGGCGGTTTGTCCTTCTGGGTCTGAGGGCGAGATGCAGTGCGACATATGTTACCAGCTGCCTGGAATCTCGCTGTCTCACGAGCACTCTAGTCTCCACGGCCAAATGACAGCAACGGAAGCTAGGGCATTGGTCGTCACGCGGTTTCAGCGAATCCAAGACATCCTACCATTCAATACAATCTGGCGCATGAAGTTGTTAGTCTTAGAGACCTGGAGGCTGATGGACCAGGGATCAGATGTCTTTTGGGTAGATTTATTGGTCCAAAACAACTGGCAATTTGTGATGATTTGAATATGACCATGGACGCATCCGAGGCGCTCTCCATTGCTTGGCCCGCAAATATTGGTCACGGATTAGTCCGTGATGGGAGAAGAATGGAACGCTGGCGCTAAACGTCTACACTGATGTCCTGTCTGATGGGGATTTGGTCGGTCTTCCTTTTCTTGCTTGTCTCCAACGCCGTTGGTTTCCTGTTCCTCTGTGCATTCTTTCAGTCAGATTTTGCCTATAACACCTATTAACTGCGACTCTCACAATGCACGTCCTGGTCGTGCTTTGTCATCCAAACCAGGAGTCCTTTACTCGCGCTGTCGCGGATCAAGTTATCAAAGGAGCAGAGAGCGCAGGTCATACAGTCAAGATCATTGATTTGTACCGAGAAGGCTTCAATCCGATCTTCACTTCACGCGACTGGGAACAATTTGAAGGTGTGCCAATGCCCGAGGATGTGCTTGAGCATCAGCGTTTCGTGGAAGAATCAGACGCAATTTTCCTCATTTTCCCTATCTGGTGGTACCAAATGCCTGCTATGATGAAGGGATGGCTGGACAGAGTTTGGTCCGCGGGCTGGTGCTACAAATGGGAGCGCAATCCTGAAGGCAGCTTGTTGAGGCACCGGCCTTGTACAGTCCTTGCTCTCGCCGGCGCGACTTCCCAACAGCTCGATAGATGGGGCTATGACAAGCAAATTCATCATTTGTGGAGATATGGCATCTTCGGCTACTGCGGGTTCGAGCCACTCCGAATCACTATCTTCGATGATTGCTCGTACTCGGAGAACGGGAAGCACACTCAACATCTGAACGCGGCGTTTCGAGCAGGACGGGATATTGGTCATGATCCCGAGGCTCTTCCGGGAATCAAACCTTTTTTAGACCAAGGCCTCACCATTCGAGGAGACAAATATGTTGAGCAGTGATACTTACCCTGCTTCCAAGCTGCGAGGGTGGAGTGAAAGGCCGGAAAACCACCACACGGGGCCCAACACCTGGCCTTAGAGAGAAGCTAGAATATGGCACTGGCTTTCTGCATGCCTCCCGTTGGGTTCCTCCTAGACCTCGACAATGGTGATTTCCGTTGCATACACCGCTGATACAGTTTTGTTCTACGCCGCATGCGAGGCCAATGCAAGGAGCCCCAAATACTCCGTCTAGGCAGGATAATCGCACCTCCTGTTATTGGTTGAATACTTCTACACCTTACCCAATCCGAAGCAAAATTGCGAACATCCTTGACAATGATTCACTCTGGACCACGACATATCTCTAGCCGAGCGGCTTTGCGTGGAGATACTCGCCTATCATGCAAGCTGGTAACAATTCATGGCTGGCGGCAGCAAGCTATTCTATGATGTGCTTGGATACTTAGAGATCCACCGAGAGTCCTTGCAGCACAGACGACTGTGAGGGATTCTACGTGTACATATTCCATGGATTCACAGCATCACTTTTGCTTGGACTTTGGAAACGGATTTTGTAACTTTGTAGTGATTTCGCAGCTGACTATCAGAATCTCATGAGTGTTTCGAGATGACATGCACCAGTAATGGCGTGGGCACTCATGGCCCGATCAGCACCACCCTGCCAGCATCCTGGTACCGCGAAGAGGGCATGTACGAATTGGAAAAACGTGCGATCTTTTCCAAACAATGGCTCTGTGTCTCACATTCTCTTCGATTCAGAGAGATCGGGGAGTTCGTAAATTTCGAGATTGCCGGCTACAAATTCTTCGTTATCCGCGACCGACAGAATGAACTCAAGGGTTTCTTGAATATTTGTCGACACCGAGCGTATCCCGTGATCGAGAAACAAAGTGGGCAGGGTGGAAAGGTTAGTGTTCTCGCGTGCAAATATCATGGTAAGTTGGCAGTCATGGCACACAGTACTCTATCTCGGCCACGGCATCGCCGCTGATCGATGTCTATTAGGATGGTCTTATGGCTTTTCTGGCAACCTCGCAAAGGCTCCACGCTTTGAGACTGCAGAGAACTTTGACAAGTCTCAATACTCGCTGTATAGTGTCCATGTGCGGACTGACAGACTCGGCTTTGTCTGGGTCAATCTCGATGCTGCCAATCCACCAACCATCCCTTGGGAAGATCATTTCGAGAGAGTTGACGAACAGCCACGCCAGAAAGACTTCTCCATGGATGACTTCACATTTGACCACGCATGGGAGATGGAGGGGGAGTACAACTGGAAGGTCATGGTGGACAACTACAACGAGGTAACGGAAGCGTCCGTCTCAACCATTTCAAGCTGATGATATTGTCAGTGTTACCACTGCACAACTGCACATCCTGGCATTCTGGCCACCACGAAGCTCGACACTTACGATGTCAAGGGAATTAAAGGCTGGATAGAGCACTACTCAGAGCCATTGGACAGTGTTGAGCACAAGTACGGGGTGCAGCCCACCTACTTCTTCCCCAATGCTGCTATATTGATATCGTACGTGGTGTCGATGTGAGGTGGCACTGGTCCGACTTGCTGACAGAGTGACAGTGATGGAATAACATATCTCACGCGATTCGCACCAAAATCTGCAACGTCACTAAAGCTGGAATATGAGGTCTATCGCCACAAAGACTGCTCCGATCAAGACTTTGACACTATGAACCCCTTCTTCAAACAGGTCGAACAGGAAGATCTCGATCTCTGCAATGCCGTACAGCGCAACTTGAACATGGACACATATGTCAAGGGACCATTACACCCGCACAATGAAAAGGGTGTCATCTACTTCAAGAACCTTGTGAGGGACGTGCTATACAAGCATGTGAATGAAGAGGAACAAGCTGGGCGAAAGATCTGCCCTGCCCGAAGGGATGATGACAACGAGGAAATCGCGGCGGAAGAAGCATTCTGTCGCCTTGCGTGTGATGGCGTTGGAGCAAAAACAATTCCACAATGGTAGAGGCCCCTGAAGGTCGATCTAGTGTCGGACTACGTAGAGCTGCTGGTCGGGACCGGAGCTGATATCTCTACAATTCATCCATGCCAATATCCCAGCGATCCAGTAGGAAACACACGGAGTAGATGTCTTGGGTCGCAGTTGTCACGAGAGGGTCAACAACAGACACCACCTCAAAATCCAAAATGCTGCCGACAAAAGACCCAATCGGCGCGCCTTATCATCATGGTCGCCGCGACTAGTGAGCCAAGTGAGCCTGACGTCGAAAGGACGTTGAGTTTGGGGCATGGTTGTGCTGATTACTCCGTTTCCGGCAGACATTAGGACAATCCATGGTCAGTCTGCGCATTCGGATTCAGGGAGCCCGAAGATCCAGTCTTGCACTTTAGCACCGCAGCAGGTCCTTGGATTCTGAGCATCCGGAATCATGGATGCCTGCTTTTCTATCGTGTACATTGTTCTGCAGCATCTTTAGCATTTTGTTTTCTTTTTTTTTTCCCCCTTCCTTTGGTATACCCCGCCAATGGCGCTTCCTCGCTCTACCAGTCATGAGCGAAACATCTTGCGACCGCGGCCGACCAGGGCGCTACCGGACGCCTTGCGAGCTGCTGGCCAGGGCCTGAATGGCTTTGCTGATGTCTCCTCGAGCATCTCCAGGCATGTTACCTCCTTCCATCCTCCAGGACTGCGGTGCTGACGCTGAAGACTTAGTGGCCGCTCCACGCCAGTTCCTCAAGATGCACCGCCTTCTGTTCAATCCCTTTCCACGGCGAGAAAAGCCGCTCGTGCTCAGGCGAAGCACCGCTTGTTCTACACGATCGACTACGTGTCCCGGGTCTCCTACTTCGATGCGCGGAGCGAATACCGCGATTTCCGAGGCTTCTTCGTCCTCTTTTGGATCAGTCTGACCATCATGGTTATCACAACGTGCTTGAGGAACATCAAAGAGACGGGTCACCCTCTGCGGGTAGAGGTATATGCTCTGCTATCCCGGAATGTCATTTCTCTGGGTCTCAGCGATGCTGCCATGGTAGCAAGCACCGCGCTAAGTCTGCCCATCCAAAAATTGGCACGAGGCACGAATGGCGTCTTGCGATGGCGACGAGCTGGAATCTGGATACAGAGCACGTTTCAAGCACTATGGCTAGCATTGTGGGTGAGCTGGCCGTTCTTGCTAGGCTGGACCTGGACTGCGCAGGTGTTTTTCGCTCTCCACACCTTGACCTTTCTCATGAAGATGCATTCCTATGCCTTCTACAATGGCCATTTGAGTGAGACCGAGCGACGCTTGCGTGCCCTCGACAAGCCAGAAACGGCAGACCTGGGCAGGGCCGTCAAATACCCCAGCTCTCCATCTCGCCTGCGCCAAATGGACTCAGAGAGTTCCGAGGAAGAGAAAGAAGATGAGCAAGATCTGGCCCAGCTCCGGCAAGATTTGGCAACTGAGTTGACTTCTCCCCTTGGACAAGTCACTTACCCCCAAAATCTCACACTGTACAATTATGCAGACTACATCTTATGCCCGACTCTTTGTTACGAGCTCGAGTATCCAAGGACACCTAAAATCCGATGGGATGAGCTCTTCTACAAGACCCTTGCCGTCTTCGGCTGCATCTTTTTGATGATCACAATCAGCGAGGAATTCATCATGCCCGTGCTGGCCGATTCAGCTTCCCGGCTGCGTCTGACGACATCTCTCTCAGAAATGGCCTTGATATTGGCCGAGACCACGAGCATGATGCTGTTTCCGTTTATGATCACCTTCCTCCTAGTCTTTCTAGTGATCTGGGAGTACATCCTGGGCGCTTTCGCAGAAATCACCTGCTTTGCCGATCGCCATTTCTACTCAGACTGGTGGAATTCCAGCGACTGGCTCGAGTTCAGCCGGGAGTGGAACATCCCTGTCTACCACTTCTTGCGCCGACACGTTTTCTTCTCGTCCAAGACGTACTTCTCGACTCCCGTGGCCATGACAATCACCTTTCTGGTCAGCGCCCTGGGCCATGAGCTGATCATGGGTTGCATCACCAAGAAACTGCGTGGGTACGGCTTCTTTGCAATGATGCTTCAACTGCCGATAGTAGCACTGCAGAGGAGCAAACTGGTTCGGGGCCGGTGGGTGCTCAATAACGCCGCTTTTTGGGGTAGCATGATTCTGGGCTTGAGCACGATGTGCAGCTTGTATGTCCTAGTTTAATGGGGGAGCTTCGTACATAGGATACATTCATCACATGTATAGAGTATAATAAGTCTGTGACAACAATAACCCATAGTAACTTGACTCTCCGTCTTTGCTGGTAGTGAAGAAGTGAAAGAGTGAAAGAGTGAAAAAGCGGCATTGTGACATTGTAACAAGGTGACAAGGTGACAAAGAGAACGACTTCACATGCATCTTGACGTGATTTGTCTGAGCGTCACCAGTCTTGGCGTGAATGATCTTGGCGTGATTCTGTAAACAACAGCCTGAAATATCTGAAAATCCCGCCGCTTGAAACTCTTCTTCCTTAGAAACTCTGCCGACCCCCAACTCAACATAATCGTCTCCAGACACGCCTTATTTTGAGCAACTGATAGACGCCGCTTTAACAGACTCTTCTCACCAAGATATCACTGCCTCATCCCAGAAACATGTCGGCCCTACTTAAAGTGTAAGTCCCTCCCTCTGTTCTGTTCACATCCTATCCCTCCTTCTGTCTCACCTGGCCTCTATCATAGAGGTGAGGTTGTCCTCAGTCCTGTTTATATATATGATACTCTTGTCTTCTCCGACGCCCCACAAGGCCCCCTTCCATGGTGTCTGCACCTTTCCTGTCCTGTGTCCCGCCCACCTCATTCAGGGTGGTTGAAAAGTCACTTGGTTTGGAAATTGCGCACCATGAGATGCCAACAATGCTGGTCAAGAAAGATGTCGATGGTCGGTACTTCATGCTCTCCTTGGACCTTGGTGCAGTTCTTGCGAACTCAAGACTTCATCCTGTTTCACAATCGCACGCCGTGGACAAGTCTTGCCTTGTTAACGTTGTCCCTACCCTGCACCACCCTTGCACCGTGCACTCGACCACTTTGCTCTTCTGATCGAGAACATCGCTAACGGTTTGCTCATCAATAGACCTTCGACCGCCGCCAAGTGGAAGTTCTATTTCATGGCGACCCGACCCGAGAACTTCTTTGTTCAGCAGGGTGACGAGCTCGAGTACCGCTCCGACACCGTCACCAAGGCTGGAGCGCAGCCAATTCTTGTCGGAGGGCTGCCGTTGGTGGTGCCTCGACTGCGCGTGAGGCGTGATGGGAGCGGAAATGCAATCCGCCAAGTGCCGGAGCTTTGGATGTGGGAGGAACTGAGATCCAACGCTGATGGCAGTAGGTCATGGCATGAGCTGGGATTTTGCTCAGGCCCAAAGGACCTGGAGGAAAAGTTGTTGGATCGTGCCAGGGAGGAAGGGAACCAGGTCACAGGGCCGGCCGGTGCTTTGCAGGACGGTCGTGACTCGTGGGCCCGCTTTATCTTCACCCGGCCTGGGGAGCAGGCCAAGCAGATGTCCGAGGTCCGCAAGGACTACCACGAGGAGCAGAAGCGACTGCAGGAGGCGGAGTAGGCTGACCAGCAGCGCCAGCCGCCGCCGCAGCAGCAGCAGCAACAACAACAAACATGGCGTCGCCTCTCGACCCTTTCCCGCCCTCTCTCACTCCCCTTTCGGCTCCCACCACTCTCACCGTGGCATGATGGAGATGGCATTGCCGCGCTCCGGGGCTCTACTTGTCGGCGGCGTGTCTGTATTCTCTACACTCTCTACTTGGTTCGGACGGTTATCGCTCAGTCACCATCACCCAAGTCTATGCCAGAAAGGCAAGGAAAGGGACATCACTCCCATCTTGACGGACTCTGCTGGTCGACACGGACAAGGCGTTGATGCCTGTGGGACTGGGTGAAAGCCTACAAGGCAGTAGTTGGAAATAGGCACATTCAATAGCTTGCTGAGTCACAGCTGAAATGAAATTCATGAATCCAAACAAATCATTTCACGTGCCTGTCGTGTTGATTCACACAAGGAGGAGAAAGGGAACAACAAAGAGTCTGGCTAAACAACCTTGTCGTAAACGCTGAAGATCAATCACCTCCTATATGTAGAAGCTAGCTTTGACGTGCGAGAACCAGCCTTTCATGGCCTCGACTGTTCTCAGAGATGGCATGACATCCACCACATCAGAAGGATGACAAGCGCTGTCACACAACAACGGCTTAAGATACCCGAATATTTCGACATGACCCAATACCCAAAATGCCCCAAATGCCCAGACTCCAAACAGTTATATATCAGCACAGATCATATCCCAGCTTTCTCTGATGATGCGCGACTTGGGCAGCCATATTGCCAATGCCATATACACGGAACGAAAACCAAAACCCTCCAAATCAACACCTCGCACATACCCAGGCAGCTCACATCACCACGCAACCACCACTCCGGGCGCGCCGTCGCCCTCCTCTCGGAGCCCGGCCAGGCGCAAACTCTTGGCCACTGCCCTCCTCGTCACCCGTCCCAGTATCTTGAGCTGCACCGTCTTCATCATCTCTGACACGGTACTCGGCATCACGAGCCCGCCGCCTCCGGCGTCTCGAGCTCCAGCCATGACCGACAACCCCGACCTCTTCGCTTGCGACCATCCACTCTGCCCATTTCTGTTCTAAGCGTGCAGCTGCACCCCAACGGCCGGAGACACAACGTTTGTAATGCTCCTCGACTGTTTGCTGCCAGCCATAGAACGCCTTGAGATGGATGATTTCCGTAGGGTAGAGTAGGGTCTGGATCTCAACGACCTTCCGGATTTCCCGTTTATCACCGAACTCGTCTTCACCATCAATTGTCTGCACGACTGACTTCTTCCGACCTTGCATGACGCGGCCATTTCCTTGCAGAATCTCGCGAACACCGGCCCAGGTGACATTTGCGCAATCAAACGCAACCAGCTCCAGGCCTTTCGTGGGTCGCTGAGACTTCTTGGTTGTACTGCCCCGTTTTCGAACTTGCTCAGAGGCCTCCATGAGCACCAAATCAGAGATTCTGGTGTTGTCCAAACACAGAGATTTAATGCGAGGGCAGGCCTTGAGGAGTGGCAACACGCCAATATCTCCTATCTGCTCACAGTATGAAATGCTCAGATGCTCCAATGTTTGTGCGGCCTTTGACTTTGAGAGGTTGATCAGCATTGCATTTGTAAGAAGATCGACCTCTTCAACTTCCAAGTGGGACAAGCGTTGTGTCGATTGTAGGAGGTCTTCGAAGGCATCATCTGTCAAGGCTGTGTTCTGGCACGTCCGGAGCCCCTCCAAGTATGGTACATTGTGGACCAGGGCCTTCAAACCTCGATCAGTTAGCATTCGACACCGAGAGACATCCAAATGTCGCAGTCGCCGGGGAGGCACTAGGGGTCGGTCAGTCAGCACGTCCCGTTCAGGGTCAACGCCGTGGATCATGGTCTCCAGCGCTTCATCTGTCAAGCTGTCACAGTGCTGGAGGACCAATCTCTCCAGCGAATTACGCTGGAACAGCTCGAGCATGAACTCGTTGTCGTTCAGGCCCCTAACCTCACTGGCCCGCAGATCGGTGAGGTTTGGACACGATTGGATGACCTTCTTGAGGCCTTTGGTGTCAATCTGGGAGCACCAGTCGATGTTCAACAGCTCGAGTTGAGGGCAATGGGTTGCAATGATTCTCATGGTCGCATTGTTGATATTTTGCATGCTAGGCATGTTGATATGGAGCAATCTCGGATTCCGGAGGAGAAAAAAATGAATAGATGACCGTTCAATTTTGCAGCCTTCGATGCTGAAGTTCTCCAGGTTCCGGCACTCTTGGTTTGTCATTCTTGTCCCCAGGCTGAGCCACTGGTCCCGCAGTTGCACGCATCCCCTAAGATTGAGGTTTTTGACAAAAGCGCCGGCCTTGAGCATGATCTTAATCAGGGCTTCCGAGGTGATCTGTTGGTAATATGTCTGACAGTCGAGGCTCGTCCATAATTGCCCATCAAAGCACATATCATGCCACTCCTTGGACACTGCAGACACCCTGATGATCTCCTTGGGGGATAGAAACCCCAAGATGTATACTCTTAACTCATATGGCAGATCTTTCCAAAAGTTGAAGTTGGGTCGCCGCGGGAGCGGCTTCTCTGAGATTTCGGGGAGCTGAGTGGAGAGTGGTTTGGAGACACGGACATCGACTGGCACAGGGACGGTGGTTATACCATTGGGGTCTAACAATCGGACGCGGGCATTTGTCTCGAAGTAGGACTGCTGGCTGCAGGGTGAACCGGGAGTCGTTGGCGCCGTAGAAAACCCATTGGAAAAGGTATAGGAAGCGTGGGGTGATAATGAGTACGCCGAAGGCGGAGAGTTGAGAGAGACGCAGGAGATGGAGGCTTTCTGGGCAGACTTGTACACCTTCTCACTGGAACGATTTCTACCCAACTTGGGAAGGGATGGAGAAGAAGACATGCGCTGCAGGCCTTGTAGCAATCTGTGTCGACCTTTCAGCTTTACGGGCTGGTCAAAGGCCGTCTGTGCCTCCATGAGTGGACTTGCTGGAGTTGTTGGCCTTGGAGAATCGAGTTGTCGAGGTTGAGGAGGAGGGGAGGACGAGATAAGAGTGTTGGGTATGGCTCGAGGACTGGGCTGCTGCTGCTCCATGATGTAAGTGGTTGTAGGCTGGGGACACCCAACGTCCAAAGTAGAAGCTGGAGTGCAGGATCAACTGCAAATGCTGCTGCGGCCGATGCTGTAGGACGGGCTGCCGATCAGATCAAGCAGGCCCAGCGAGGGAGAGGCAGCCCCTCACCACCCCCTGGTGAAGGAATTTCTGTCAATGAGTAGAGTCGAGTTGACCAGCAACTGTTCTGGAGGAGAACCAAAGGGTGTCGAGCCGAGGAACAGGTCAGTCCATTTGCAAGACTGAGCGACGACGGCGAGGTCAGGCGACTGGGCAATCTTGGGTTGAAGAGAGTGTCAACAAAGATGGAGATTGGAGCAGCATTGGCAAGAAGATCAATTCAGGAATCTAAGAGGCCGAGCCGAGACAAGGAATACGCAATTGATGGTGGTGATGGGCACGGACATGCGAGCGCACCTGATAGTCTGCATGGATACCTCCCTAGTGGTAGCGAAGTGGGTGTCATCTTGTCCGGTGTAGGAGACAGGGTCCATCAGACGATAACGGGGCGGGGGGAATTCAAGAATCAGGTGGGTTTAGTTTGACTACCGCTATCACCAGTCAGACTAGTGGGAAGTGGCAGTTTTGGGGGGAAGGGGGGGGGGGGAGCCGGGGCTGCGCAAATACAAGTAAACAGGTACTGGCAACTCCGTACAGGTATCTTACCTTTGGGTGCTTGGGTACATAGTGAACCTAGTGAGCCACTGTTAGGGTAGCCAAAATGTAGTACTGTACCCCGAGGCCAACCTAGGTACGGACGGGGACTGGCTGGTGGTATTGGTGCCACCACTTCACTCCTAGACCTCCCGTGCCTACCTCGGTGAGTGGTGGGACATGGGGAAAAAGGGTCAGATTTGGCTTATCGGCGTTATCGATAGGCTGGCCAGGCCCGTATCAGTGCCAAGGGTCCAGCTACGCTAGCTAACTACATCCCCCCAATGAAAGCTGTCCAGGTACTTGCCCCTCCCCTTCCCTTCCCGTACCTGCGAACAAAGTAACTTCACCCTCCAAAACACCAAACAGTGTCGTTTGTCACCAGACACGCACTCACCCTTTCGCCGTTGTCCATCTGACGACCCTGCAGGGCTCTAATCAAGAGATCATACTACAGAGCGGTAGCCTATCGGTATCACTAAATATCGAAATCCCAGATGCATCCAAGGTAAGTGATCAACAAAGAGCGTCTCGTAGCTTTTCCCTATCGTAGCCCGTTCAGTGTATCATCGCGTGCTCATAGGAAGTCAGCCCATATCCTGACATGGATTCTGCACCATTCAAGGGTATTCTTCTGACCGTCAGATGCCGTTGCGCTATGTTCCCTCTAGCGACTCATGCAAGCCCCAACGGGGAGGCCAGCCTCTTGCACTCGACCACTGAACAAACGAACAAAGCGAACCTCGACGACACCCGCTTTCCTCTCCCCCCGCAGAGATCTGCCGACAACACACTGGGCTGCTGTGCGTTGATGGAGACAGAGGCTGTGTTTTCGGCCTAAACACTAGGGCAGTCACTGCGGATCCTGTCCGCTTAACCGAAGAGGAACGGGTTTCCCCATCTCACTTCAGTGCACTCTTGCCTCGTGGCCACCATCTCGCCATCCCCTTCTACTTACCCGCATGCGGCGGACCTCGTCTCGACCGGGCCCGTCTTGTGCGTCGTCCCGCCTCTAATTGGAGACATGCAGTCGATTTTGTTTTGCGAAAGCAAGGTCCAGGCCATCTGCAGTATCTTCGGGACTCCGATTTTTCTTTGGTTAGCAGGCACTGGTTGCAGGCCGACCCCTTCTCGAAAGGCATTTGGGAACGATGGCTTGTCTGCACACAGCAGGGGGTGGCGAACCCTGCGTTCCTACTCACCGTGGGCTGCAGGGGTACCTGCAACCCCTGCGG